TAGAGATGAGGTCTCGCTGCCCAAGCGGGTCTCGAACCTGTGGGCTCAGGCAGTCCACTCACCTCAGTCTCCCAAAGGCGTGGGATTACAGGCTGAGCCACCGAACTCGGATTTTTTTTCTTTTTTAACAAATGCAAGTCAGTATTACGACACTATTTGGATATGATGGTAAACTATTTCAATAAAGCTATTTTGATTTGTTGTTACATTAAAAGATATCTACCCCATTCTTACCTATTAGTATTTAAGTTCAGCCCAAGAGAATGGGGAGAATTTGTATCAGACTCTACAGATGAAGTTTTTTGTAAGGTTTTCACCAAGTCAAAATCTTCCATAATGTACAGAAATTGTGATACTCTCTTATTTGAAAATAAGGGTTCTTTGACTGTTTGCGGAAACTGAATCCGGAGTCATCTTCAGATGCTTCATCGTCTACCATCATTTTCCGTTGCTAACATTCAGAACTGTGAAATAGCCTAAACTTCCAAGAGAGTCTGAAAATAAATGGGGAAAAAATACTACTATAAAAAGTCACTAAACCTAGCCGCTGTCTTTTCATGACTTTGGAAATCTTGACTTCGTCCACACAAGTAGCTAAAAGGCAGAAACAATCCAAATGTCCAACAATAGATGAATGGATAAACGCATGTAGCACATTCATAGAATGGAATATTCAGTCATAAAAAGGAATGAAGCATTGATACATACTACAATAGATGACACTGAAAATATCTGCCGGGCTCAGCGGCTCAGCCTGTCATCCCGCACCTTGGGAGGCTGAGGTGAGTGGATGGCCTGAGCCTGCGGGTTCGAGACCCGCCTGGGCAGCGAGACCTCATCTCTACAATAATCAAAAAATTAGCCGGGATGGTAGCGCGCGCCTGTAATTCCGGCTACTCGGAAGGCTGAGGCGGAAGGATCGCCGGAGCCCAGCGGGTCGAGGCTGCGGTGGCCGGGAGCGGCCGCTGCACTCCAGTCTGGGCGACCGAGTGAGACTCCAGTTCAAAAAAAAAAAAAGAAAATATATGATAGGCTGGGCTTGGTGGCTCAGTCTGCAATCCCAGCACTTTGGGAAGCCAAGGTGAGTGGACTGCCTGAGCCCGCAGGTTAGAGACCCGCCTGGGAAATTTGGCAAGACCTCTACAATAAATCAAAAACTAGCCAGGCGTGGTAGCGTGCACCTTTAGCTCCAGTTACTTGGAAGGTTGAGGCGGAAGGATCTCTGGAGCCCAGCAGGTCGAAACTGCGGTGGCCATGAGCGTGCCACTGCACCCCAGTGTGGGCGACAGAGTGAGACTCCAATTCCAAAAAAAAATACTATGATAAGTAAAAGAAGCCTATCACAAAAGACCACATACTGTATGATTTCAGTTACATAAAATATCTAGGCTAGGCAAATCCATAGAGACAAAGAAGACTAACGGCTGCCTGGATCTGGAGAAGGAGAGAACGCGAGTGACTTTTTGTTTGGGGTTTCTTTTTGGAGTGATGACAAGTTCTGGAATTAGACAGTGGTGACAGTTGTACAACCTTGAGAATATAATTAAAAACCACAGCATTGTACACTTTTTAAAAAATTTCCCCCTCGCTCCCCCCTCAGAATTGTACACTTTAAAAAGTGTAAATTTTATGGTATATTAATTCTATATCTCAATTAAAAACCTACATTAAGGGCGATATGCAAAAGTAGCATATTTTTAGGTCTGGAATTTTATGTGTTTAACAATTAAGGTTCTACACACAATTCTATTGTGGAAGTTAGAATACTTGCATGCCTTGTTCATTTGTTTAATATATTCTACCATGAGGAGGGGGCAGTGGCTCACACCTATAATCCCAGCGCTTTGGGAGGCTGAGGCAAGAGGACTGCCTGAGTCCAGGGGTTTAAGACCAGCCTGGGCAACTTGGTGAGACCTCATCTCCACAATAAATAAAAAAATCAGCTGGGTGTGGTGGCATGTGCCTATGGTTCCAGCTACTTGGAAGGCTGAGGTGGAAGGATCAACTGAGCCCAGCAGGTCGAGGCTGTGAAGGACATGAGTATACCACTGCACTCCAACCTGGGCGACAGAGACTCCAATTCAAAAAAATTATATATACATATTCTACCAAGTATACATGCTTTTCTATTTATATAGTGACTAGAAAAGCTGAACTACTTAGTATTTAACTTGTATTAAAAAGAGTCAATTAAGCTGTTAAAAAGGGTTACCTCCCCATTGGCTGGAAGTACATTTTGAATTATAGGGCCTTTTATATCTGTGCAGATATTCTTCGGGAATAAACTAGTTGGGCACAGTGCAGCACCTCTGCAGTGCCAACTACTCCAGAGGCTGAGGCAGGAGGATCACTTGAGCCCAGGAGTTTGAAGCTGCAGTGAGCTATGATCGCACCACTGCACTCCAGCCTCGGCGACAGAGAGACTCTGTCTCTATCACAAAACAATAAGTAAATACACTATCTGCTAGGTCAACTAAAATTTCACTGACGCTAGATACACAGTGGCAAATTGGCCATTAAGAAGTCAAACACTAGCCCCACTTCTTAGGGAAATTCATGCCCTTAATAAAAAAAAAAAAGAAAAGTGAGGGAGCAAGAGAAAAAGCAGAAAAAAAGAGAACCTCGCCGGGCTCGGTGGCTCAGCCTGTAATCCCAGCGCTTTGGGAGGCTGAGGTGAGCGGATTGCCTGAGCCCGCGGGTTCGAGACCCGCCTGGACAACTTGGCCAGACCTCATCTCTACAATAAATCAAAAATTAGCCGGGCGTGGTAACGCATGCCTGTAGTTCCAGCTACTCGGAAGGCTCAGGTGGAAGGATCGCCGGAGCCCAGCAGGTGAGGCTGCGGTGGCCGGGAGCGACCACTGCACTCCAGTCTGAGCGACAGAGTGAGACTCCAACTGAAAAACAAAAAACAAAAAAAGGAGAACCTCTACTGCTTACAAAATGAAACGTTTAGAGTGGGCAACAGAAGAAAACTATCTAGGATTCTGGTTCCTCTGGATTCTCACTTTCCAGAGTCTGGTTTTATAAAGCATTATCCAAAAAAGAGTCCATCTCCTTCAGGACAGGTGCGAAAGCGTAGGGTAACCGGACCCCACTAAAGGGCTTCCTCCCCAGGGGTTCAGCCCATCACCCTCAACAAACGCGGCATTGAAAGAGTCAGGGGCTGCCCCTCCCAACTGGCAACGGAAATACCTGAATTCAAATCACCTTGCTCTTACACCGGGAAAACCTGAGCCCTCTGGGAGGTGGATCTGCAACCCCATCCATTATTTCTCCCGCGGAGGTGATCCGGATGCGGATCCTGATGGAAAACCACTAGAAATTCAACGATGCTTGCGGGGGAGGGGGGTGGCGGGGACGCGGTGGGAGAGAGGTGGCGGGGAATTAAAGTTTTAAAAAACCCCAAACGCCCCGATATACAATGTAAAAATTAAAAAACGAAAACTTGATAGCAAATGAACCTAAGAACAGAGACATTTTCAAATTTCCTAGCAACAAAATAGGATGCTCCCCCCCCCACCCCTAGGAACAACAACAAAAAAAGAGCAGGAGCTGGGGAAGAGGATCGACGAATGGAGTCGACCGATAACATGAAAATGAACTGGGGGTTCTGCTTTACTGGGAGGCTAGGGCGAGAGGACGGGGTTCCAGAGGGATTGAGGCCAGATCCTGACATTCTCGCGCTCACAGCTAGACCTCAATTGCTGGAGGCGGCGATAGGGCCACAGCGGGAAGGCGAGGGAGAACCCACGCAGTCGACTAAGCCACAGACGGCGAGGAGGACGGAGAAAAGCCACGGCTTCAGTAGCTACGACCGTAATTCCAAAAGGAAACCCGAGGCACCTCATCCAAAAAAAAAAATGTAATTAAAAAAAAAAAAAAAACACAAGCTTCCCCCACCCTCCGCCCCTGAGGAAGGCTGCTCTGTGATTGGGCCGGGCGGATGTCACTCAAGGGCACTGAGTCTAGAAAAGGCGCCCCGCAGCCCGGTAGCGTCCTCACACGCCAGAGGGTTCCGGCGCGGTGGGGTCGCCTGATTGTCGTCTTCCTTCGTCCTAGCCCACCAGAACACTCAAGGGGTCCGCTAAGACAGTGTCTTCCAAGCCTCGCCCTCTGTCCCCCCCTCGCGGCCGGCAGCTTCTCCAGGCCGGCCGACGCTTACCTGACCGCCGCTCCCACTGCCGATGTGAGGGTCAGGCGAGCGGCCTCTTGCGACCGTTAAACTCGAGGCAGCGTGCGCGCGCCCGGCGTCTCGCCTGCGATTGGCTGCGCGGAAGGGGGCGGAGACAGCCGGGCGTGGCGCGCGCGTCGTCTCACGCTTCCCTTCACGCGCAGCTCCGGCCGTAGAGGGATGTCCAACCCCGGGGGTGTGACGGGGGCGGGACTGCTGTCAAACTCTCTTCTCTGAATGGCTCTCTGGGAGCCCACGGCTGCCACGAGGAAAATGAACCTCACCTTCTCGCATGCGCAGTTAGTAAGAATGAGCCTCTGGCAGGTGAGGGAAGCCACGGTAGGAATAAGGCGCATGCGCAAGCCTGGAGCGCGTTTGCCCTCCCTACTTTGCGGCGATTCGAGTTCCCTCAGGACGCGGGGGCCAAGAGTCGAGTCCTCAAACCAGGTAAGCGTCCGCGGAGAAGCCAGGCAGCCTTAGGGCTGCCCACGACTGTCAAGGGATCTGGAGAGAGGACTGGGAGCCGGGACGCCTGAATTTTTCCTGGCTTGTGACCCCGAATCGCGCCAGTTTACCTGCGGCCTCTCTGGAGCCGGCCCTAACACCTGCGCTCAGTTTTTTCTGCACCTGGTTTACCCTAGGTTGCTGGGTGTCGACCCTGGGACTTTTCAGGCACTTGGGGCCAGGGCAGGGGAGGAGAGACCACTGCTCTGGGGAGAACAGTTAGTTCCACAGCAGCCCAAGGAGAAATGGAAGGGTCCTCGTTTACTTATTCAGCTGAGCAGGATGGAGCACTGAACTCGCATCAGGTGCTACTTTAGGCCCGGCACATAGTAGGTGCTGCCCGTGCTAGGATTTTGAAGGACCCCAAAGAACCCACTCTTCTCCCTGTGGCCCCCAGCCCATCACATACGCCCTGTCCAGTCCACATTCTTTAAGGTCCTCCCAACTCAGATTTCCCTCCAAGTGCCCTGGCTTCCAGTAAAGGGACTTCGCAGGCACTGTCACTTAGGGCACTGAGAAACCAGGAAGGGGAGGTGTGTTTGCCCTTGGAATGACCGATCTGCCAAGAGGCAGTCCGTCTCCTCTGGCCTCCTAAGAACACCTACCAATGACTCTTCCACAGCGAGATTTCATTCTCTATCCCAAACCCCATCCGTTTATGGAAGTCCCCAAGCTTATCATCCCCATGGTGTTAATCCGCCATTCAAACACCTAACCAAAATAAAATTATTTTAAAGCACGTGGCTCTGTTTTCATGACCATATTTCAAGCCTACCAAAAAAACCCAGCAGTTTTATCACTCATTTCAGTTGGTCACAAAATCTATTATTTGAGACACCGTAGAATCTTGCACACACAGAAAAATTGAGAAATGTAGATTCCTGAGACAGCACCAGGCAGAGAGGTGTGTTTCCCTGCAAGAAAAACATTAACCCTGTAGGAAAAACATGAATCCGAGAAAGGAGTACCATGCAGGAGGCAGTGGATCATCGCTTTTGGCTACAAAATCAAATGGGCTGTGTTCAGTTTGGGTGTGTGTGTGTCTTGCTTGTGGCTGTATGATTTTAGGTCAATTTTTTTTATCTGTTAATGTCTTAAGCTAACATTCGGGAACTAATATTCTGATGAAGTGTTATTTTGTTAACTCACTGATGCAGTGACACATTTTGGTAAGGTTGTTTACACCGTATTTCTTTTTTCATTATTTTCACACACAACATTGGAGGTATATTCCATATTTCTTACCTTAGGATTCACTCTTTGATAAGGTCTTAATTTTTAAAAATTCAGAGTAGGCCGGGGGCAGTGACTCAAGCCTATAATCCCAGGCTTGGGAGGCCAAGGCAAGAGGATTGCCTAAGCCCATGGGTTTAAGACCAGCCTGGGCAACATGGCAAGACCTAGTCTCTACAATAAATCAAAAAATTAGCCGGGAGTGGTAGCGCGCGTGCGTGTAGTTACAGCTACCTGGAAGGCTGAGGCAGAAGGATTGCCTGCACTACAGCCTGGGCAACAGAGTGAGACTCCAACTAAAAATATATATATATTCAAAGTGGAAATTGCCTCTGACTAATAGCACTAGACAGAAGAAAGGCCTTTTACAAAGTTTTAGGAACAGCTAAAATAATAGCTTTTAAAGTCCAAATAAATCATTTCTGAACATAGAAAACAAGTAGAAAGCTTCAGAAATTCAAGTAAATGTGCTAAAGACAATGGCCATTCCTCTAAACTAAATGCCTCACTCCCCCATACTGGAGATTTTGCACTATTTGTAAGCTAACTTACACCACTATTTTTTTTTGGGGGGGGAGGTTCAGAGTCTCACTCTGTCACCCAGGCTAGAGTGCAATGGCACGCTCACGGCCACCGCAGCCTCAACCTGCTGGGCTCAGGCAATCCCGCCTCAGCCTTCTGAGTAGCTGGAACTACAGGCACGCACCACCACTTCCGGCTAATGTTTTTGATTTATTGTAGAGATGAGGTCTCGCCACGTTTCCCAGGCTGGTCTCAAACCCTGGACTCTGGCAATCCTCTCACCTCTGCCTCCCAAAGCACTGGGATTACAGGCTTGAGCCACCACGCCCAGCTATACCACTATTTTATGGCCTTTATAATGCTATGATTACCATATAATTGTATTATAACATAGAATTACTCAAGTATTTCTCATTTCTCTTGAAGCCTTCAAATTGACAGCTTGTGAGTGCAGATCTTTCACATCCATTAGGATATTCAGTAATAGTGGCTGATAATGACTTCAGGCATTTAGTGTCTGTTAACCAGGGTGTTACTTTGTGTCATTGGTTCCTATAGCCAAACAGTTTGGCATTTGGGGAATGTCCTCCACAGCAAAGAATGAAAAACAATAAAACTTCAAAATCTACAGCTTAACCATTAAACATGTTAGGAAATGATCCAGTTTACATTTAAATTTTTTTAGTTTCCCTGTCTTTCATTATTTTTCTTATTATATTACACAGTTCCCAAAGAGACTTGTGTTTAAGAACTTCTTCAGTGAAGATTTATCTTTCACTGTGGGCTTGCTGGGAAGTCAGACTGGATTTTTGGCATCATAATGATCTGAGCACCTGATTTCATAGACCAGAATTATGACCCCACCAAATAGCATGTTTTCAATTATTTCTTGGTTTCCAAGTACTTCTTAAATTTAGACTATACCAAAAACCATTTGCAACTCACTGTTCTAGATACCTTTTCACCCTGAGCTCTAAAACAAACGCTTGAGAAATAATCAGTTCCCAGATTGGGTTTGTGCTGTAGGACTATAACTTAATGTAGTGTGTTGTTAGTCAGAGGTTCCTGAGCCTTATAGTTTAGGGATCTGAAGAGCCAGCATTTAATACGCATTAAGTGCTTTAAGTCTGTGGAAGTACTAGGGGGACCCCAAAAAAGAATTTTTTTTGACAGGCAGGCCCCTTGTAGTACAGGCTTTCCCTGCTAGATAAATGTTCTAGGAACCCATTGGTATCAATGTACCAGCTAGTGGTGTTGTGAGAGGCTGTGTTCAGCTTCAGTGAATTTTTTTTTCTTTTGGAGATTCTTTCAACTCATTTGCCCATTTCATGATGGGTGATTTCTGAGCATACCTGCCTGCACCATGCTGAGTGTTCAGCAGTTGTTTTCTTTTTTTAACCAAAAAAGGCATAACCTCCATGCCCCACCCTCCCTATTCACCAGATCTTGCCCCAAGTGACTTTTCTTTGTTTCCCTGGATGAAAAAAGTCCTCAAAGGGAAACCGTTTTGCCTGTGTGGAAGAGGTGAAACAAAGAATGGCAGAAACATTAAAAGGCATCAAAATTGATGAGTTCAAAAACTGTTCTGAAGCCAGGCTTGGTGGCTCAGCCTGTAATCCCACGCCTTGGGAGGCTGAGGTGAGTTAATTGCCTGAGCCTGTGGGTTCGAGACCTGCCTGGGCAACTTGGCGAGACCTCATCTCTACAATAAATCAAAAATCAGCTGGGCGTGGTAGCACGTGCCTGTAGTTCCAGCTACTTGGAAGGCTGAGGCAGAAGGATCGCTGGAGCCCAGCAGGTCAAGGCTGCGGTGGCTGGGAGCGGCCACTGCACTCCAGTCTGGGTGACAGAGTGAGACTCCAACTCAACAACAACAAAAAAAAACTGTTTTGAGTAGTGCAATAAAGTATCTTGATAGGTGTATTGCATCAAACAGAGAGTACTTGGAAGATGACTGAAGTGTAAACATGAAGATAAATACATAAGTTTTTATAAATAAATTCCGGGTTTTTTTGTGCTCCCCTCGTGTATGGATGGTTTTGTCCTCACCTTAGGTATTATCTCCATTTTAATGTGGCCAAAGTTGTACAGCAAGTAAATCATGGCATTGAGACACTGAATGCAGGTCATGCTGAGTACAGAGCGCACACTCTAGCATCAGGGCCTTTCTAGGAAAAAAAATAAGAGGAAGAGTCAAAAGGAGAAAATCAGGCTGGTCCAAAAGTAGTGAGTTATCCTGACTGTTTCCAGGAAGCTTCAGATAAAACTCCTTGTTCTCTTCTTTCCCTCTTCTCACTATTGCACTTGACTAGATTTTTTAAAAAAGAGAGCAAGGTGAGAGGATTGCCTGAGCCCAAGGGTTTGTAACCAGCCTGGGCAACTTGGCAAGACCTCATCTCTACAATAAATCAAAAAAATTAGCCAGGCATTGTGGTGCACGCCTGTGGTTCCAGCTACTTGGAAAGCTGAGATGGAAGGATAACCTGAGCCCAGCAGGTCGAGGTTACAGTGGCCATGAGTGTGCCACTGCACTCCAGCCTGGGTGACAGAGTGAGACTCCAACTCAAAAAAAAAAGGAAAGTAAACCAGAGAAAAAGGGTGGATCTACCTCTCCAAGATTGTAGAGGGAACCAGATGCTTAACACATTTGCAATTGGCAGATTTTTCACTTTCCTAATACTGAGAGCAGGTGAAAATTTTAAAAATCTGAAGTTGGTTACTACAAACTTCTGTCATTAAGCACAAGTGAAATGATCTTTTCTAAATTGTCACCTTTTTCACAATACAGCTGAAAGTTGCAGATATATCCAGTATTTGCCTCAGACACCACTCTGACTTGTATTCCATACTTTGTATTTTTATTTGGATTATAAACCAAGTATATATTATTCAAAAACAGATTTTGCAAAGATATAAATTCACATCAGTGGCAACCAGGAACAGAATTTGGAATGATGTAAATTCACATCGACAGTAACCAGAGCTGGGCTCGGTGGCTCAACCTGTAATCCCGCGCTTTGGGAGGCTGAGGTGAGTGGATTGCCTGAGCCCGCAGGTTAAAGACCCGCCTGGGCAACTTGGCAAGACCTCATCTCTACAGTAAATCAAAAAATTAGCCAGGCGTGGTAGCGCGTGCCTATAGTTTCAGCTACTTGGAAGGCTGAGGCGGAAGGATCACAGGAGCCCCG